TGACATGCTTATCATTAGAAGTAGTCAAAACATGATCAAATCAACTAAGCAAATGCTTAACAAAAGATTTGATATGAAAGATATGGGGGTCGCAAATGTTATATTAGGAATGAAAATTACTAAAACATCTGACGGATATGCATTATCTCAATCACATAATATTGAGAAAATTCTTGATAAATTTATCAAGGATGATATGAATTTAGCTAGAACACCTGTAGACGTTAATCTTTATTTATCAAAAAATAAAGGTGATGCAGTGTCTCAATTAAAATACTCCCAAATTATTGAAAGCCTAACGTATCTAATGAATTGTACTCGTCCTGATATAGCTTATGCTATCAGTAAATTGAGTAGGTACACTAGTAACCCCAGAGAAGACCATTGGAAAAGCGATCATTCGGGTTCTTAGATATCCAAGATTCACCTGTGATCTTGGTTTGAACTTTACTCGATATCCAGCAGTATTTGAAGGTTATTGTGATACAAATTGGATATCGGATACTAAAGATTCAAAATTCACAAGTAGATATGTCTTTACTCTAGAAGGCGCTGCTGTTTCTTGGAAATCTACGAAACAAACTTGCATCGCACGATCCACAATGGAATCCGAGTTCATTGCTTTGGACAAAGCAGGAAAAGAAGCAGAATGGCTTCGTCACTTCTTAGAAGACATTCCAATGTGGCCAAAACTTGTGCCAACTATTTGCATTCATTGTGATAGTCAATCTGCAATAGGCAGGGCACAGAATCATATGTATAACGGTAAGTCATGACATATTCGTCGTTGACATAATACCGTAAGACAATTGTTGTCAAACGGAATAATCTCAATAGATTATATAAAATCTAAAGAGAATATTACGGATCCGTTAACAAAAAATTTGACAAAAGAGCTAGTGTATAGCTCATCGAAGGGGATGAGATTAAAGCCTATTACATAAGAGTCGTCGTAATGGTAACCCTACTTATATGACTGGAGATCCCAAGAACTAAGTTCAAAGGGACAACTAAGTTATGTATGGCTCGCTAGAAATCACCAAAGGATTAAGTTCTTACCCATTCCTATGGTGAGAGTGATATCTGCAACATATGTTGTATGCAGGGGTATAAAGATAAGCTTTGCTTTTAATGATTACTTATATCTTGATTAAGGCATAAAATCAAGATGAGTATAAGGAGATACTCACAATAAGAATCATCTATATGAGTGTTGAACTGGGGCCGGTTTTATGAGAATGAAAATGCTAAATTCTCTAGAAACATTCATGAAAACCAGGAGCGTTCAAGGCCAAAATGAACAGAACAGTGAGAACCACGATGTATTAAAAGAGATTTTGTGTGAAATCTATTGTCTTGGCTTACATAAACGGCTGAACAATTCAAGGCATCGCGTCCATTGTTTAGCTAGTAAGTCCGATAGGTTATCACTAGGGAAGGTTCAAGGCCGAAAGCTACCTATCCTGATGCAAGATATTTTCGACTTATACTCTTTCGATAAAGTCTGCATATTGTTACATTTCCGTTGTCATCAAATTCCATTCATGTGGGGGATTGTTGGAAATGGTTATAAATTCTGGGTAAAACCAAAATTTTATCCTAAGTTCGGTCTATTTTTTAGGTGGGCCCCGTGCGTCGATTTTCACGGGTCTAAGTGATAACGCGTTCTATGCCGCATTGTGATTCATGTGGTATATTTGGTTGCTCAAAATCATTACCGAGTGAATGGGAAATTGAAGCCAAAGTGTGCTCCATGGAAATGGAGTTTTGGTGAAAATTCCTTAAGGTTGTAAAATGGCTTGTCCCACATTGATTTGGTGGGAGGTTTTGAATGGGTTTATAAGGCTTAGGTTTGGTACTTAGGGTGTGCCCCAAGGGGTACCCAAGTGTTTTAGAGAGAGAGGTTATGGGCAAAATGGGCTAGACCCATTGGACCGAAAAATCACCACACACGCACACTCGCGCGCGCCGCCGCCGTCCGTCCGTCCTGTCGGGCGGGCTGGGCTGGGCTTGGGCGCGGGTGCGTGGTGTGAGGTTGGATTGGGCTTGTTCGGCCCAATACTAATCTTTTTGGGCCAAAAATATTAGAATTTAATTTTATTTTTTGGTAAAATAAAATCCATAATTCAAAATTAAACTGGTTTGGTTTTAAACAGGGCCCTTTCCATTTTTGTTATCTGTTTGAATTGTAATACAACAGATTCAAATCTGTTTGAATTCAAAACCAACAGGTTTCATACCTATTCAATTCAAAACTTACAGCCACCATTACATCTATAAATAGGACAGTCCTCATTTAGATTTTGGAACTCTAATTTTCGTACTCCATCCTCTAATATAAATCTCTGCATTTTGCTGCATTTATTTTCTGAAAGAAAGAGTGCAAACACTTAGTATGTTCGTAAGGCAAACAATTTGTAGTGTTGCTATTGTTTGTAGTAGATCATTTTATTCTGGGAAATAGACGTCCAAATTCTGAAAGCACCGTGGAGAGGACGAATCTGTCTTAAGGACACAGTGTCAAACACTGGACTTGATCTGATAATTATTTAAAAAAATTAATCAAGTAAGTTGTTTAATTTATTATTCTGTTTTATTTATTTAAATTAGATTTTAATTTTGTTTTTGTAACAAAATAAAATCTGTTCTTATTTATTTATTTATTTTATTTCAAATTTGATTTTTGTAATCAAACAAATTCTCTCATTTTCTTTATTTCTTAATATTCTAGTTGTTGTTTTGTACACAATAGAATTTAATTTTTTTAAATACAGTGAAGATTGTCTTACAGTATTTAGATATTCAACTTCCTAATTGACTTGCTTTGCTAATAGTGCTAGCTCAATCATTAAGTCACTTATATGTCATTAAAAAAAAATCATTAAGTCATTTAGATATTGTCTAAAATTTACAAAAGAAAATAAAAATTCTAACTTTTCAAAAATTTAGTTAAATAAAATTTCATTTTGATGTTTAATATGAGATTTAAAAAAATAAAAAAATAAAAAAAGTTTTGCCAGTGAATTCTTAAATGATCTCATTTCAAGCGATTTGTATTTTTAATTAAAAGTTTACATGAAAAAGATGATGCGTTGTGTGATTTTTGCACCTTTGATTGTTATTAATTAGAATATGAGAATGATTATACCGTACAATACAATCTAATTTAAGTGAATTTAACTTTTCAACTATCCATGTTATTGGAAGATGCTGGTTTAGGCCTTGTTTGGGGCGGATTTAAAAATTAACTTTTGGGCTTTTAAGACCTAACAAACTAGACAAGTTTGAAAGTCCAATTTTTTGTGCGCATTTTAAGTGAAAGCTGAATGCACTCTATACAAATTATTTGATATTAAGGCACCGTTTGAGAAGAACGTTTTCAGGTTTTTTTTGTTTATTTTAGTCACAAAAAATAAAATAGGCTATTTTAGTCCCAATAAACAAAATATCATATCCAACTCATAATCATTACACTCTTCTCTCATAAAAAAAGTCAAAAAAGTCAAAAAGTCTTTCCCAAACCAAACTTTTTAACCCAGACTAAAATAGTCAAAAAAACCAAAAAACTAAAAAGCCAACCCACTTCCTAAACGGAGGCTAATTCTCTTTGAATATCTTAAGTAATTTCAAATCTGCTCTCATCATTGACACCATCATCTTTTTACCACCACTTATTGCCTCCCATTTCTTCTCTCTCAAATTATAATCCTCTCTTATGCCTCTCCAAAATCACTCCGTCCCACTGTTTTCCTTTTTCACAACCGCTCTGGCCCTTCCTCTCCTTCTCATGCGAACCATCCCTATCATGACTTTCTATTCATCTTTTGAAATTCTAGACATCTGGTTCTTTATTTCTCTCGCACACGCGACGAAGGGTTACAAGGGTGGGCAGTTGCAAGGTGTTTTCGGCAACAGTTAGAAAACGAGATGATGAAATGAATTTTAGAATTTTATCTTTTTTAGTAATTTGACTTAGATGTAAATTGGTATTAAAAGAATATATACGAAAAATAAGTTGTTGGACCAAATTTTTTTTATGGTCCATTTAAAGGCTCTCAAGACCAATTCTTAAGTGAAAAGAATAATGTAGACCTTAAAAATTTTACCAAATGCCTTATATGGGTGTGGGAACCACATGGGACTGCGAATTCCACACCTATGTAAAATATTTGATAAAATTTTTAGAATTTCTAACATTTTAAAATGAAAATTATGAAACACTGATTTTATACTCATTAAAATGGTTAATAAGATTATCAAAATATTTTAATATTATAAAAATTGTCAACCTTGAATGATAGTTTTCGGAAGTTGGGTAAGTAACCCAATTTACAAAAAGAACCTAGATTTCATGAAATTATCACAAGACTATAATTGAAAAACCGGCAAGACTTGAGTTTTGTTTGAGAAGTCACTGAAAAATAGTTATTTTAAGTTGACTATTAATTTTTTTATAAAAAAATATGTAAAATATAGAGGGAAGAATTGATTTTTTAGTAATAATTTTTTGACTTTCACTAAAAAAAAAAAAAAAAGTCTAAGATTTATTACCATTTTTTTTTCGTTTTTGTACGTATTTAAAAAATTACTAATAATTATTTTAAGAATAAACGTCGATTCATATATTTATCTCTTCATATTATTTAATACCTTCGAATTGTTTACCTCATAATCTTCATAATAAAAGTTATCTATATCAGAATTCAAAATAACTATAAAGGAAAAAATTAATCACATTTTATTTTATAAAATGAAAGATAAATATAGTTATAAATTTCAACATACATTTTATAAAATTAAAGTAAAAAATTATTAAAAAAATGACTCCCAAAGGAATCCTTATCAATCAGTTTCGGTCATGACTTGATAATATTTTTAACAAAATATTTCGTATAATAATAATGAGAAATTACTTTGCATATAGGCATGTGTCCAGCACATGCATTTACCATGAACTTTATTAATAAGCCCACAAATGCTTAAAAAAAAAAAAAAATCAGTAAAAAGCTAAGTGGCATTTCAGTAGCTATGTGCGAAGATTAGGGGCCTTTCAACAAACTAGCTCTCTTTTCCTACTGCGATCTCCGAGAAAACAATTCGCAGCACCATACTCTTAGATACACAGAGAGAGAGAGAGCGAGAGAGAGATGTGGCGGTGCGTTTCTCGTGGTCTTCGGCGATCGATCTCCGGCGAATCCCTGAAACCCTACATTGAACGATCCTTCTCCACTGAATCAGTGCGAGCTCTCTCTTTCTCTCTCTCAGTTTCTTACTAATCACTAGCTCTCAACTCTCTATCACCCTCCTAATTCTAGGGTTTTTTAGTGCTCATTTAGATCATGCTATTATTTCTAGATTTAATTGCCTAATCAATGCCTTTTTAGCTCAGTTCCATTTTGTATGTTTTCGATTCTAGCTCTCTGTATAATGTTTTGACTCGTTGCATTTTTGTTATTAATTGTGAATTTTATTTTTGGTTGTTGTAGCAGACTGGAGGACGATCCTCATATACTGTGGTTGATCATACCTATGATGCGGTTGTTGTAGGCGCTGGAGGTGCCGGGCTCAGAGCAGCCATAGGACTTTCTGAGCATGGATTCAATACTGCTTGCATTACCAAGCTATTCCCTACTCGATCACACACTGTTGCGGCACAGGTATGATATGATTGTATCTATTTTCCATCTCTATGCTTTGGCCTGTTTTTTCTCAAGTATTTTTGCAAATTGATCATTTGAAAATTAATCTACGTGGTTTCTTGATACATAGAGGTAGAAACTTAAATTTAAAAGATGCAAAATAGCAGCTAGAAGATGACCTGACTAGGGAAAAAAAATCCAACTTTGATGCGTAGTCAGCAAAGATGATATCGTGTTAATTAATCTCAAGGAAGCACCAAGTGTAGTTTAAAGCTCCGTTTGTTTGGGCGGAAAAAATATTTTTTGTATTTTTTTGCATTTGGTACAATAGAAAATGAAAATCAAACGGAAAACAAGGCTATTTGGGTAGAAAATATTTTCCACCTAAAAAGGCGGAAAAATGTTCTCTAGAATAAACCTTAAGAAAAGTAGGTTTTAGTGTGCAAGAGTTATTGTGGTATTGTCTCTTGTATGAATTGGAAGTTAGGCTTGAACTATTTCTCTCACCACATTATCAAGGGACCAAATGTTCCCATTCAAGAGAACCTACCTTTTTGTAACATTCTAGTCCTCTATCCCAAGTTGGGATCTTTCAACCTTAAAAAGGGGATACTGGAGGGCAAAAACAAGTCTATCCACATCTTGTCAACAAAACTTGTGTCATATAATATTTATGAATTTATCTAGCAAGGAAATACTTGGGTTTATCTTCGAAGATATTGAACAATGAAGTAATCTTCACTCTTCATTGCAATTACCTGCACTGGCATTCATTGGGACCTAATAAAATTCTGTTGCTTTTAATCAAATTCATGTTGCATGTAGCTGTTAGGGCACATGTCACTAAGTAAATTTTGTTTATCAATGAGATCGATATATTTCTGACTACTGATAGCAAAACTCTGTACAGGGTGGTATAAATGCTGCATTAGGGAATATGAGCGAAGATGACTGGAGGTGGCACATGTATGACACTGTAAAGGGCAGCGACTGGCTAGGTAAAAATACTTGCTTGAGTCAGACACTCTTTTGCTTTCTATTTGGAATATAGAGCAAGTGTTTAACATACATGAATTATTGACAGAATTACAGACAATAACTAAATTGTATCAAAATTAGAAATTAGTGGGTATTTTTCTTTTTGTTCTCTTCTGTTGCTGAAAAATTAAAAGCTTATGTATTGTTTGGTTGTGTCTCATTTTTTGTTTTCTATTTTCATTCTTAAGAAAACACAGAGAATTTGTTCAGCGAACGGTTTTTGAAAATTGTTTCTGAGAAAATATTCCAAAAGCAATCCACTTTTCGGAAACATAAGAAGTTTTTGAATTTTCAAAAACTGCTTTGCACAATAATGATACGTGTTTTTTTTTTTTTCTAAAAAATGAAACACGAAACAGTAGAAAACAAAAACACTACCAAACAGGGCCTTCATTTTAATTGTATAATTATTTCTCCCCCTCTCTCTCTCTTTCTCTCTCTCTCAATGTATCTTTATGCAAGTGCTATATGAATCTATAGGTGACCAGGATGCTATTCAATACATGTGTAGAGAGGCACCCAAAGCAGTTATAGAGCTTGAGAACTATGGGTTACCATTTTCCCGAACTGAAGATGGCAAAATATATCAAAGGGCATTTGGTGGTCAAAGTTTGAACTTTGGGAAAGGTGTGAAGATGTTTGGTTTGTAATTGCAATGTCATTATATGATTCGGTGAAGAGCTATCTGATCTTGGCTTCCTCTTGAATTTTTGCAGGTGGACAAGCATATCGTTGTGCCTGTGCTGCTGATCGAACAGGGCATGCTCTGTTGCATACTCTTTATGGCCAAGCTATGAAACACAATACCCAATTTTTTGTCGAATATTTTGCTCTAGATCTATTAATGGGTAGTGATGGTATGTTAATGTATATGCATTCTCATTTTCCTCTTAAAAGTTCTATTTATTTATTGTTTGGCAACTGGATGAATATGATCCTTCAAAAAATTAGGAGTTCAGTGAAATTAAGATAGGTTAAAGTGCTTATAATGTTTGTCCACTTGAAGGGGGAAAAAAATCACTGTGGAATTTGTGCAATTATGGGTTTACTAAGTTCAGAGAAGAGTATATACCAGTGAAACATTCCTCTGCTTACATTCGAAATTTAAATTGTTGGGCTGTTCGTTTTATCACTCATTGTAGTTTTGCTCAACACAGAGCCTAGTGGTGTTGATTCCAAACTATAGTAATTCATGCAGTCTTTCTTACAGCCGTACTTCATAAATTCCGAGTGTACAGACTTAAAAATTTGTTCTTTCTTCTATAATATATACTAAATTTTTTTTTGTCTAATTTATTCCCCGAGTGATTGTGTCCTGTTAATAGTTTGTTCCTTGGCTGTTTGACTGCCACTCTATGATTGGAAAACATTTGAAGACATGCATGCATTTAATAATAAATAAATACATACATATATATAGGCCAACGTATCCATGATCAAATCAGGCTTGGTTTTTTAATCGCAATTCTTACATCTTCCAGTAACTTGTTTGTTAAAATTTTATTAATGATTTTCATATTAGGTAGCTGCCAAGGAGTAATTGCGTTAAATATGGAGGATGGGACTTTGCATCGGATCCGCGCTGCATCAACAATTCTAGCCACAGGGGTATTAATCTATGTTTTAAATTGTATTGGCTTCAAATCAGTGATATCTTTATGTATGTATGTATTTTGTTTTTCTCAGGGCTATGGTAGGACATACTTTTCTGCAACCTCAGCTCATACATGCACTGGCGATGGGAATGCCATGGTTGCACGTGCTGGGCTCCCTCTTCAGGTCTGTTCCCCCCCCCAACCAAAAAAAAAAAAAAAAAAAATCTATGGAATTAGTATTTACATTTCTAATCAACTAGTGCTTATATTTTTCTTACAGGATCTTGAGTTTGTGCAATTCCACCCAACAGGCATATATGGTGCTGGGTGCCTCATCACTGAAGGTTGGTGCTTCCTATAATATATAGCTGGGGATTTATATTTAAAGAATGCTATCTAAGTTTGATAATTGGCTATCATTTTGCTTAGCTTAACTATTCTATTTGTTTGTTCTGTTGAAAACAAAGAATTTTGTTGTATACTTTTTCCTGATTTCTTTCTGCCACTTGTAGGATCTCGTGGTGAAGGTGGTATTATGAGGAACAGTGAAGGTGAGCGATTTATGGAACGGTATGCCCCTACTGCCAAGGATCTTGCATCTAGAGATGTTGTTTGCAGATCTATGACTATGGAAATCCGTGAAGGTCGTGGTGTAGGTATGATCTTATTTCTACAATCAGTCCATTGTGGAATTATAGAAATATAGAGAAGTTTTGGTTTGAACCCAGGGCTGATCTCTATGAAATTTGTCTCATTAACTATGGTATCCAAAAGGTATACATAATCTACTGGTCTTAGTTCAATTGATAGCCGTTAGTGGTGAAACTTTTGATACCATTTGGCAGAAGGTATATGCCATTTTGTTTCTTTATTATTTATTTCTTTTTGTGCATAATTTGTATGAAAAATATTATGTCTAATTCAATGCTGATACCTACTGATTTTCTGTTCACTTATCTGATTCTTGTTTTATGCTCTAATAAACATGATTTTCAATATAGGACCCCATAAGGACCACATTTATCTCCACTTAAATCACTTACCTCCAGAAGTCCTCAAGGAGAGACTTCCTGGTATCTCTGAAACTGCTGCCATTTTTGCTGGTGTGGATGTTACAAAAGAACCAATCCCTGTTTTGCCTACTGTTCATTATAATATGGGTGGAATTCCCACAAATTACCATGGAGAGGTAAAAGCTAAATTTTATATGTAAAGTTGATATCATGGAATTCTGTTATTTCTGATTAAAAGATATTGTCAAGGTATTTTGTTTCCAATTAGTGAGATGATTTCTCCCCAGGTAGTGACCATTAAAGGTGATGATCCAGATGCAGTGATTCCTGGACTAATGGCTGCTGGGGAGGCATCCTGTGCATCAGTTCATGGTGCCAATCGGCTTGGTGCAAATTCTCTTCTTGATATTGTTGTTTTTGGCCGAGCTTGCTCAAATAGGGTTGCAGAGATTCATCGACCTGGTAAGTTGTTGTGTCAAGTTTCTATGGATACATCTCTTGTGAACTATGCTGTAAAATCTTAGATGCCTCTACTTGCTTTTTGTACAGGGGAGAAACAAAAATCTTTGGAAAAGGATGCTGGTGAAAAGACTATTGCTTGGTTGGACAAGCTAAGGAATTCAAATGGTTCAATTCCAACTTCAAAAATCCGATTGAATATGCAACGAGTTATGCAAAATAATGCTGCTGTGTTCCGGACACAAGAAACATTGGAGGAAGGTATGCAATAAGCACAACAAACAAACCCACACCAACATTAAAAAAAAAATTAGTCAAAAAAGGGAAATGTATCTTTTTCCATCACTTTTTCCGATGTTAAAGCACATTTCACTTCTCGGTTGTCTCGGTTTGGTAAAGAGTGGTCTGTGTTACATGAACCTGGGCATGAGTGTCGGGTCCATGGTATATGTCTAAGCATTTGGTTCTTCTAATTCCTATGACCAAGGACGTGGATAAATATTCATATTACTTAACACTTTTTTTTATTTTCTAAAGTAAAATGGTATATACAAACATAGAACATTTTATACATAATAAGAAAGTTTTATATATTGTCATATTGTAAACTCAATTACTAGACATGGTTATTGGATGCATGGTCAACTAGACACGTTGGACACATCCCATACTCTTGTCCAAGTGTCTAGTGTCCAACATGGGTACTTCACACATTCAGAAATGTCCATGTAACAAAGATTGTGGTTAGTTGGAATGGAAAATGGGCTTGAAACTAAATATTGCTATTTTAATTTTGTGTGGTGCTGTTTTAGGTTGTCAGTTAATTGATAAGGCGTGGGAAAGCTTTCATGATGTTCAGTTGAAGGATCGGAGCTTGATATGGTAAAATTTGTGTATGTTGATGATTTGACGGACAATATTAGTGTAAGTCATTCTTTTTGATGGACCCCCAAAATACAACCTTGTACAGGAACTCGGACCTCATAGAGACGATAGAGTTGGAAAACCTTTTGATCAATGCATGTGTTACCATGCATTCTGCTGAAGCTAGGAAAGAAAGCAGAGGAGCGCATGCCCGCGAAGATTTTACTGTTAGTTTAGATTCTTTTTCATTTAATATTTTCTCTGCCAACCTGGTTGAATTCTAATGGAATTAAAATGCTGTGTTGTGCAGAAAAGAGATGATGAGAAGTGGATGAAACACACACTGGGGTAAGCCTTTTTTTTTTTTTTCCTTCTTCCCTTTGTCTTTTCTTCCCTACTACTCTGTCTGTAGGTTTGCTATTCTCTAAGAAGGGTTGATGATGAAATTTTATAGTATTGGATTTTGTCTAAAAAAATTTGGTTGATTGACATTCTGTCATTGGGGCTATAGAATATTGGCAGCTAAACACAAGTTGAAATCTAGGGTACCTATCTATTTATCAAAAAAAGGAAATCTAGGGTACCTATCATTTGCAACTGGCTGCAGAGAAAGGTCCTTACAAAGTTTAGCATTATAAATTGAGTGCAAGCAGGAAACTTCCCATGCGGTGAATTAGAAAGTTAAGGATAAGCTTCAACTAAGCCAGTTGTTCTTATAGGTCATTTGTTTCAATCTGTGAATAGGGGTCACACTTTATATGGAAGGATTTGAATGTTATAGGACAGGTTCTACGAGAACACCAAAAAAACGTAATTAAGCTCTACGTAAGATATCCGAAGTATGGTTGGGCAATCGACATGTTATATTTATGTTGAGTCAAATTTGTGCAAGTGGCAAAGCCCAACTGAAAAAGAATCTTTTTTTATTTACTTTGAAATGATTTGTCGAATGTTATTGATCATTCCCAGGCAGGTCTGATCCATATTCATACAATTGGTGTTTAGCTGTAAATTCTTGGAATAATTGGATCAGTAGGGGCTTGCTAATGAGGGTGATGACATGTAGTGTCATGTAATAGGGTTCAGAGTATGATGGTATTGATTTGGCATTTCATTTTAGTCTCAGTGATATTGGTCTTCTGTTGGGTTTCATTGTTTAATGGCGATAGGCTGTACTTTAGGGCCACCTTTGATTACTGGATTATTTTTTATTGGATTGAATATGATGGTGGGATTATTGATGGGATTGTAGGGAATAAGTTATATCATAGGATGAAGGATTGGATATCTAATAAGATTATGGATAATGTTATGAGGGATAAGTTATACCATTGGATTGGAGTAATTATGTTTGGTTAGGATGAGATAAAAAAGATATAGTGACGATCAAAAAAATAGAAAGATATAATTTATCAAAAAAATAGAAAGATATAATTATTATTTTTTTATTGTCGAATGAAGGTAGGAAATAATCCAGAGTGGCCTAATCCTCTTTATACTACAATCCCTCTGGTATTAATTAATCTCTCATTTTTCTTCATTTAATCCTCCATACCAATATTAAAGTTAGAATTTTAAGGGGGAGGTCATGGTTCGACTCTCTCTAAGGGAGAGTTGAATTAGGTGGCAAACACTTGATGCTTTGCAAGGGTAGGGAGGTTAACTCTCAAAGGTGTTAATTTAACAACTAATAACTGACTTTCTCCAATCAAAAATAAAATAAAATAAAAAGGGGGTTACAATTTTAATACTAAACTAAACAAAAACCGGACTAAAAAACATGTGGACCCAGATGTTTCCCACCTTTTATCCCCACTCCTTATCCTCTATCAAACATGTGATCTTAAATGGGATTCACATGTTTTCTCACCTCTAATTTCTCCAATTAATACCACAATAAGAAGTAGCTTGATCACAAGGGCATTTGGCATAAATTTGTATTGAATTCAAATCCATGTAATAGTATAGCCTCGACTATTCCAAATTATTAATCACATTGTTTCTTATTCTTTCAAAGCTTATATTTGCTATGATCTGCAGATACTGGGAGAATGAGAAAGTTCGGCTAGACTATAGGCCGGTTCACATGAACACATTAGATGACGAAGTGGAGTCATTCCCACCCAAAGCTCGTGTGTATTAATATATCTGCACACAAGAAAATGGTTAGTGAAGTTATGCAGATGATTTGTTTGAAGCTAAGCTTACAATAAATTTCTTGAAACATGGAATTTGGTGATTTGTTGCGTTCATCAACGAATCAGGTGTTCATAATATCTTGAATTGTAAACTAGATTATTTATCTGCATCAGTGATTAAAAATACCTTCCTGCTACTGTCTATTTTTGCACATAATTTTATGTTCTGGGTATATTATGGAGCATTTTACTATTTACTTATTTGTTACTTGTTTACCTTTTTTTCCCTGGGTTTGAGTACTGTTACTGCATTTACTTAGAACAACAATGATTCATCCCACTAAAAACATCACCACTAATAGCACTAATGCATTAAAAAAGTAAAAAAAAAAAAAAAAAAAAAAAAAATAAATAAAAATAAATACAACTCCAAGACCAAAACATCACATCATTAATGACGGGACCCACTGCCACCTAATTAGTGGGAGCACTAATTAGTGCTCCCAAGCATTTTTCTTACTCGAATGGTTGACACAGTGAGAATGTGGGACCTTATTTTCTCTCTCCGGAATAGGATGATTGTGTTTTGGGTTTAAACTATTACTTAAATTTATTATTTCAGTTTTGAATTTAAGCTATTGACTCAGATTAGAGCATCCGCATTAGTTTCTTTAAATTTTTAGTCAAATTATTACTAAAAAAAACTATTTCACTATTTTAGCTAGTCATCTCTTTAGTACTAACTCCATTAAATTCTCTATTTTAACTTAATTTTATTAAAATATTACTTTCTTATTATATTTGTTATTCTTTCTTCTTTTTTTTTTTTATTAAATTGATGAGTTACCAACTAAAAAAACAATAAAAAATAGCCATTGACAGGCCGGACTTCTGGGCGGACATCCGGTAACACTAATCTTCATGTTGTAGTAATGAACAGTACCGCGCTTGTTGTACTAAAGTATTGTATCACTCGTAAATTAGCGATGAATAGTAGCGAGATTGATGCAGTCTATTTTTGATAAACAATAACACTAATTTAGCTAAAAAATGATTTTAGTTAGTTTGATGCGGATGTTCTTACAATTATAAAATTATTTCAGTGAATCTTCATTGTTTGGTGAGTTAGTAAAATAACCAGTAATGTCCTATAATTTCAATGGTTCAAATTAATAATCAATAGGGGTTGGTTCAATGTAAGACGTTCGAATTTCTTACTAAAAGCTTGGTTTGAACCTTCGTAGTTCCCTATTGGGGGTAAACATAATTTTTAGGGCCCAGAGCACTTGGGGGGTTTTAATTTCGGTCTCAACGTTGGTGTGGTAAGGTTCTCTGTAAATGCATTGTGAGTGCTAAGGAGTAATATTTCTTGACAGGTATGTAGAGTCTATATATATATATACATTTTTTTTTTGACAAAAGAAAAATGGTTCAAATTAATAAGGATTCGGTGTTAATTAATGAATTTTCAAAATATGTAATATTCACTTTATGAATTGCTCGAATGTACTAGTGTTGGTCGCAACATTGTTTTTGCTAGTTCCAATTGTTTTAACAATAAGTGTAATGCTATACAAATTAATAAATTTTACAAATAAAACTTTATAATGACACTTATCATATTGTTGAAGTGGGTTTTGTTTTTGTTTTTATAATTTTATTATTGCATGACACTTGTTTTAGAGCATCTCCAATCATTGTTGCTATAATGCCATTGTTATTGCTATAATTTGGCAATAAATAATGTTATTTTGCTAAATTATAACAATGGTACTCCAATGGTCATTTGCTATTTTAGCAAATCTCAATCAACTTTCCTTCCAAGTTTGTACATGTTTGGATATAGGTTTTTTTGTAATTTTATTTTTGTTTATTTTTTGTCTTTTGTGACATTTTTTTATCTGTTTATAAAAAAAAAATTATATATTTATATTATTCCCAACTAAACAAATATAAAAAATGAAAAAAAATGTGAAAAATTGGAGGAAAAAAAAATTAAATATACAGAAGGAGATATGTGATAATATGATAATATAAAAATTAATATACAGAAGGAGATCAAATTTTGCTTTTTTTTACCTGAGATTTTGCTTTTCTTTTTTTTTAGCCAAATAGAGCACAACAGCTCTATTTGGTTTCATCACCACAATCCACATGTCTCTTCTCTCTCTCTCTCTCTCTCAGTCTTTGTCTCTCTCTATTTGGTTTCATCATCTTTTCTCCCTCCATCACCGAAAGTCTCTCTCTCTACTCTCCGTTCATCACCAGTCCCTCTCTCTCTACTCTCTATCTCTCTCTTCTCCGTCTATCACCTCTACCGCTCTTTACTCTCCATCTCTCTCTTCCCCCCACCCTTGTCTTTATCTCACTCTTCTCTCTCTCTTTATATCTCTTCTCTATCCAACTGATCGATCATTTTCTCTCACATCCATGTCTCCAAATCTCACAAACCCACCTTCAAATCTACTCTCTACCTCTCCCTCTCACTCTCCATTTCCCTCTCACTGTCATCTATCCCCATTCCTCTGTTTCTCTCACTGTGTCATCTGTATCAAAGAACACAAAGAAGATCACGTATCTGTATCATCTGTAAAATCATTTGCATCAAAGAACACAAAAAAAATCATCTGTCTCTTTTCTCCCTCTCACTGTCAGGTTTTTTTTTTATTTCACTCTGTTCATTTTTTATTTTTTTATTTTTAAATTTTGTTTGCTTCAAATTGGTGAAACTGAAATTTGGAAAATTGAAAATTTGGTGATTCTGTGTTTGGTATGTTGAAATTTGGAAAGTTGGAATATATTGTTCCATCTCTAGTAATAATTTCTCCAAAAAATCTATTGTAATAGCAAATTTTTTGTTCCGCTGTTTTTATTTTTATTTTTTATATTATTGTTCCATCTCTGGTATATTATTGTTCCACTGTGTTTATTTCTTCCATGAAAATTTTAAAGCCAAATTCTGTTTATTTGGATGATGTGGCAAGTTTGGCAACTGCAAAATTTATTGCCAAATTTGAGAGATGAAATGACATTTGCCAAATTTGGCAGGGGTTGTAGCAACCCATTAGAGCAACATTTTTTAAAATTTTTGTCAAATTTTGACAATGACATCTCAAATAGTTTGCATTGGAGATGCTCTTAGTTTTCATTTGTTTCAGTTCTCTTAGTTTATTACTGCATAAATCATCCTTTAGTAAAAAATATAAAATTCATTAATTTATATAGCATTTTTTGAACAATAATAGTAGTCACTTGAATGAGTACTAACAAAAATCTAAAAACAGTGTGTATGATAAAGGAAAAAGATGATCGAGTAATCACTTGAATGAGTGCTATGAAAATATAATCATTAGCTTATGGCCATTAACATATATGATTAGGTTAAGGGTGAATCTTTGCATAAGGCAATCTTGATTATTTTTGGCGTATTAGCAAGTTCTTTAATTCTTTATTTCCTTTTCGGGGTTCTTTTTGTATCACCATTGTCTTTGTTAGAATTGAACGTATGGGTATGTGTTGTTGAATTTTCTTCCATTTTTAATTGTTTAATTTGATGTAATTTTCTTGATATTTATAAATGTAAATAATCTCCTACCAATAAATAAACAAATAAATAAAAAGAGTACTACGAAGATATAAAAAAACATGCAGATAGTAAAAAGAATACGATCTAAGGTGAGATTATATCCAAAAATAAAGAAATTATGAGAAAATTTTGAAAGGGGCAAGGAAAAGTACTTAATTTTGGAGAGGTCAAAATTAAGTTAATTAAATTTTTAGAGTCAATATGTTATTTCTTGCCATAGATAGTTAAATATATAAATATATATAATACCCTTATCACATTTTATTTATCATATTCAATGTGAAGTACTCATAACTATTAAATATTAGTAGAGCTCATGTGAGCTTAATATATCAATGGTTGTAGCTATACCCATAATTAAAATATAATAAATATATTAAGTATAATATTATTGATTAAAATATAGGGTGGCACAAAAAAATAAGTCTATATATACATTAAAACTTATAATTATAAAATACAAGAACTGATCCATAGGAGCATTATAATGCTATATATTATTATATTCTGCAAACACTGTTCTAACGGGACTAAAGATGAGAGAGATCAATAATCAAGTCTGTCTTTATGTATTCATTTGAATACATTATTCTCAATATTTAAATTTTGGATTGTTGTGGTGATGTCTAACTAGTAATGAGTAGTTTTCTTAATTATTGTACATGAAATAAAATATAAAAATAAAATAAAAACTTTAATCTTATGAGTAGATTGTAGATTGTAGATTGTATGATCGGGAGATTACCAGCGCTGTTTTAGTGTAAACGTTGCTGTGACTCAGGCCTCGTTTGGGAACAGGCTAATTTAGTAACTTTTTGGCTAATTGGCTAAAAAGGTAGGTAAAAAAAACTTGTATGTTTGGGATGAGTTTTTGACTAATTATGAAAAGCTGTGCAAAAAGTAGAGAGAAGCCGTAATTGTTGACTTTTTGGTATGACTAATTGGCTAATTGGCTAATTTAGTAACTTTTTGACTAATTGGCTATTTTAGTAACATCCCAAACGAGGCCTCAAGTAGAAATCACAATAATTAGTTTATTTACAAAAAAAATAAAAATAAATAACAATAATTAGAAAATGCTCAGTGTAGAAGACCTCGATACAGCATGATGCATATATATATACATATATATATTAGTTTAAAAAAAGTCTGTACAAGACACGGGTTATTATTATAATATATTTAAGTTTTATATTTTGATGATTTTTTAAAAATTAAAATATTATTTTGTAAAATTGAATAGAATAAATTAATAGATATGATATGTGGTATGATATGTATCTTTTTTTAATTTGTTATGCATTCAATGATGTAGACTCCAATTATATTACTATATCATTTTGGGTGAATTTATGAGTATTTAACATTTCTTCGGAATTTATAAAAAAAAAAATTATGGTGTATAACTTTTCTCAACAAATAAATATAAAATAAATACTAAAATAATTTTCATATCTAAAAAAATTACTAAGATAATTTACTGAACTAATAAAGAAATAGAAAAAAATACATATATATACACATAACTAATTTTATTAATACATAAATCATACCTGCATAACAAATGATCAATTTTACTAATAAGTAAATCATTAAATAAATTAATAATTTTTAATGATATGAAAAATATTTTTTAGTTAACCATTTTGTTAATAAATAAATCATTA